TATATATATCTTTATATATATACTATATATATGGTATAAGGTCGGTCATAAACTGCTCAGAAATGAGGAGCTGTGAAGAACAGTGGACTAGGGTTTTAGGCTTAACTACCACTAATGAACTTATGATCTCAGGTAAATGATTAAATTTCTTTAGACCTTGACCTACTAAAGAGTTTATATTAGCCCAGATCCAGTTTTAGCACCCTATAATTTTAGTGTTTAGAGAATACTATATTATATTTAAAAGTTACACATACTTAAGATCATCTATTACTTTGGCCTGTTCATTTAGTTCTCTGATATCTACTAAATGTTTCATAATTTTTCTTCCTCTAAGTTCTCCTGGCTGGCTAGAAGATGCTCCTTGTCTTCGATAATCTACAGCTTCCTGAAAAATCAGAAATCATATCTGTTAATACCATTGTCAATTCACACAATAAATCTAATCTACAAAATTAACACCTTAAATCAAAAAAAAAAAAGAATATGCAAGAGTCAAAGCCATCTATGTTAAGTAAGATGATTGGAATTCTCCATTGATTCAAATCCCTTCATTGTCATACAGAATCTAATTAGTTGCTACCTACGTTTCCCCATTTCCCCGTGAGTGTGCTCTGTATACTTTCAAATGGGACTGGCTAGCCTGAGGGTTACCCCATATCTCTGAGCCACACAGATACTCTGTAGGAGCAGAGCAGCGTTGATTTGGGGGCCTCAGCCCTAGCAGGTGGTTTACAAGTCACTGCCCAAAGGTGAGCTTGTGGCCATCTCCACTCACTGAACTTCCATCTGAATTCTAAACAATAAACAGTAATATTACTATTTTTAAAAAATGTCTTTCCAACAGCAAGACAATTTCATGGTACAACAGTTAAAAATGTATACAATAACTTTTCAAAAATCAATACCATAATAAAAGCAGAGATTAACTTTCTTTTTTAAAATATAGACCTTTATTTTGCATATATACTTTGCTTTTATAGGATTCATTTTTAATTATCTCTTAGATATGATTCAGAGATCATAAAATTCATCCACTTAAAATTTAAAATTCAATGCTTTTTAGCATATTCTCAAAGTTACACAATCATAATCACACCCTCAGTTGAGAACATTTTCATAGTAGCCTCTTCCTATTCCTTTTTCCACCACACTCCCTATCCGCCCATGCATAGGCTCTGTCTGTAGATATGGCTGCCCTCCAGTTTTAGTGTCATTTCATTATCTATTAGTCAAGGCCTAAGTTGGCTAGCAGTCGTCTCAAACACAGAGCTCAATTAGAAGACAGTACACCATGAAATGCACACCCAAGGAACCACACTACTCCTTCCCCTTCCTCCACAATAGGGATTGAACATACCAAATAACATCACACTGAATTAACTATACTCCTGACTGGACAAAAGTCAGCCCAGAGAACTTTCAATCGGGAGCTACTTGCAGTATGGATAGTGGGAGACATAGTGTCAACTTCATCCTCAGCAGGTCAGCTATGTTCACTGAATTTAAGTCAGCAATGTCATCTATGTACTCCTCTCCTGTGAGTATTGTAAGGGTATTTACCAGGGCATTAAGCCTTTTGCCAGTGTTAGGATCCATGTGGACATCAATCCCACACATTTCCCACAACAGGTTGAGTGTCCAGGCTATAGCACTACTACTTTGTGTTTAAATAAAGACATGGCTTTATTGGATAGTCCTGAGTTTAGAAATTTAAATAATCTTACATTATTATGATAAAGTGTATGAGGGGCATATGTAACAACTAACATTTTTGCAGCTAGATCTGTCAGAAACATTAGGCAATGAGCATGATTTCTGTATGTGTATACTGGGCATCTATAGTCTTTTTTCCATATAGCACCCTTGTTTATCCGAAGAACTACATATTTCCTCTCCTACTCTAGTCTACTAATCTACTTTCTCATGGTTATAATAGAAATTCCATGGCCCTGGCTCATTAGCCAGAATTAATTATGTAACTAGTTCAAGTG